TCGAGCTACGTATGCGAACTTGCCTACATTTGTCAAGCCGTGCAGTTTCCAATGGGAATCAGACGTCCTCGCATTGCATCAATGATCAAGTAACTATGCGTCTCCCGGGTTATCGTGGAAAGCTATAAACTTTATGCACTGCATAAACCCTGGTGTAAAACTGGTGTTAAATTTACGCTTTGGCATCTATAGGACAATTTACACCAATGTGCTTACGGTGTAAACAGTCTTAAAGCTCCCCCGAAATATTTCAAAAATAGCTCTTGGATCTCTGCTGAAAATCACTACGTTTCACCCAAAAAAATGCTTTAATGGATCCACAAAAGTAACTTCAAATTTCTCACGACGTGAAAGCTTACATCAATAAGCAGAGCACGAAGGCAGGTGGACTGAGTAGAGCGAGAAAAAGACAGAAAACATCTTCACCTAGCCGTATTTTACTTGCTGACAGTGTATGCACATGTGTTTTCTTTGGCTGCTGTTAATAACGCGATTTTTGGTCCATCTTAATTCCAATAAAAACCCATACGAAAGTCACATGCAAAGAGGGAAATCTCACAAGAAGTGTGTTGAAGCGATATTGATAGGGGCTTGTTTGTGCCAAAGTCTGAAATGTGTGATGAACAACAACAAATTGAGAGTTTGTCGAAAGTATCACAAATACCCTTTTTTTAAATCAAGACATAAAAAACAAGAGCTCTCCGTCCCCCCCGATTCTCACTGAGAGATCGTTTCCAATGTCAAAGCACCATCGTAATCATGGGGGGCCTCACGAATATAGGTTAACAATTCAATTTTGGGAGAAACAAACATATTTCCAATAATGGGATGTGAATTTGTGACCTTCAGAAGCCACCCAGCTCCAATCTCAATTTGCAAGGAAGTGAACGTGCAACTCTGACCGAGAGTGAACTGCCTTCGAGTGTTTATGTTACTTCGCCGTTAACGGCGCGACCATCTGCTCAATGCTGTCGATGTCCCACGCAAAATTGCAGCACGCGAACCGTCGGTTTCCAAGTCAACTTGATCTGATTACGACTTAAAGCAACTTTATAATCAACTCGGATCGTCAACGATGCCCTTCAATTATTTTCCTAGATATCATTTTATACCCATGGGCAATAACCACAAATATTTACGACGGACCTTTTCTGTAGTTTTCCTTTTGGCTTTCTCTGAAATTTCTGTTTGCTTATACAATTTGGTTGGGATTCGGATTCGATTTTGTTGTCTTTGAAAACACACTTCCACTTACTAGACGCTGATGTTTTGAAAGATTGTCTCAAATGCAAGGAGCATCTGCGACCAATGTGGAAGATTTTTTAGCGTATGCTTACATTGAGTGGCTTCGTACTTCGTTAAAATTGAACTTAAACCTGTAAGCTTTCTGATATCTGTTTTTAGTAAAGCGTACTGGACAGTGTATTTCTTTTAAACATTTAAACTATCCACGCTTTTTTCAGACAGCTTAGGACACTGTTTTGATATCATTCCGGGAAAGCATTTTACTTCGTTCTCAATAGTGAACCCCAATTTTGCATTTTCCGAGAAAGGCTGCTTGCTGACTAAACATTGCCATGTGTAACAATGAATCACAAACAAGAAAAAAATGAGGACAGCGAAATATCCAAACATATTAAACATTGAGGTTTCCTCCTTGGAATAGACCTATGCTTGCCGTTTTTTTTCCATATTTAAATGCTATTGACATGTGAGTTTGAAAATTACTTTACATATCTTTGAGATTTGAATCTTTTCATGGTGGAGGTAGCACCGTGGATATCCGCTTCGAGTTGAACAAAAGAGGGCGTTCTTTTTTAGGTACTCACCATATTGCCGGGCGTTTATAATGGAAATCAATGGCACGCTTTGCGCGGAGCGCACCGAGTAGGCGTAATGAATTTATTCCTTAATGTATGGTCTTTGCATACACGCAGAACGCGTGCAAGAACCTGCTTGGAAAACTTACAACCATCTTTCTTTTTTTGCCGTTTGGGGGTGCAGTTCAGCTCGAGGCGAATAATGATATAGCCTATCCATGGTGCTACGGCAAACCTGTTTAGTATAATTCGCATTTCTTTCTTGTCTCAGCAAGGTTAATGTTTCTTTATGAATCTGTTTTCAGATAAGGCTTATGACATGGCATGACAATTCAGTCGGCGTAGTGGTTCTCCCTCAATGCAACGTTGAAAAGATACACTACATACTGTAAGGTATTTCGTATTTTTGGTCGACATAAGCTGGGGGGAGCGTATCCAGGTCTTGTGCCCTGAAGAAAGGTAAAATGGGATTTTTTTCTGAAAACAACTGTCCAAACCGTTTCATCCCCAAAAGAATCCCCTCCACAAGTGGCAGTGCCGTTTTTAAAATGATGGCGCGCCTTCCATAAAGAAGAATGTATTGGGGGCGCCTACTCCACCGCCACTGGAAACGCACTCATCAGCAAAACCATCTACAATAAAAGGGGGTCGACTGCGAGGTATTTTAAAGTAAAGTGGTGGTTTTTGTCGCTTTTTTCTTTGGTTTCTTTCCCCTGTCCTTTCCATTTTCTTGTTTAAATTTTCTGTTTTTTCCAGAAGGGACAAACACCTGGGCTTCCACGTTTACGACGTCCGTGCACTGCCCTATAGAAGTTTTTTTCACGTGACATAACGAGACAGGCAAAGGTATTGCAGGAAGCGTGCCGAGTCTGTGGAGGCGCATGCATTTTCGAATGTGTGTACGTGTACATGTATTTCTGTTGGCAGTTTCATGTACGCCAGAATGTTGAGAGATTTGCGTTTCCGCGCACAGCCGTGTAAACTGAACGTTGACCGTCAAAAACTACGCGACTGAAAATCCTCTATACCTGTGTACCACAAGTATGAAAAAATACGGCAATTTTGCAGTATAAAGATATATATTAATTCAAGAGAACGTAATACAGAAATGTCAAGTGACGTTGGAGGCTGAATTCACTTTGACGGGTACAAATTATGTGTTACCCCAAGGGTGACCCAATTGGCGCTTTCAGTCAGTGCGTGGGTGATCGACGACCCGTTGATAAAAATCGCATTCACCCCTTACTCCCTGGCTAGCTGGCATCGGCGAGCGCGGAGCCTGCAGTCAGGCTTTTGTAAAAGGCCTGGTGATGGTATCGCCTGAGATTGAAGACGGACAGTTTCCAAGCCCCCACTTCACCAAACCAAGCCGGGGACTTCACCTGATCGTGGGATTTTAGGAAGGTATTTAGCGAGGGATAGAATCTGCCGCGAGTCTCCCTTGGAAGAGCAGTAGGCATTATACTAGTTCGAGTTCGATATCACAGATCCGAAACCGTCCTTACTGCTGAAAAAATAAAGTGCCGATTACCTTTCCCTATATAGGCGTTTGCGGTCTTTACTCAAGTCCGCTGCTTCAAATCACAGCCATGCCTCATGACCAACAGTCCTGTATACTATATTTCTGTATACATCCTATGCATCACTTACACTTTTTTCACCAGTGAAAAAGTAGGTTTAATGCAACGTCTTGGAAACAAAGAAAGGATTTGCTTCGAATCATTTCAGAGATAAATCTACTTGCCTACTAGTATGGCTACTGAACCACAGTGGACCCCTTTTGTCATTGGTAACTCACATTGCCTAATCAACGTGTTAGTCTGTTCCTGAAGTTCGGATGACGTGCGTACAGGTTCACGGCGATAAAAGACAAAGGCTCTTATCATTTTCCAATCATTAATACCACTACAACACGGTTGACGTCAATCACTTAAAAACTGTAGGAGTGCTCCAGGGTTAAAGCATGCGAACCTTTTCATTCTATTTACCTGTCTGAAGTTTCAGTGGCTCTATTTGGATGGACTATTATCTCACACACTCAGAAAGGCAAAGTGTGGCTACAGTGCCCAACAAAATGGCGTTTATGACGTTTATACCATCGTTTCAAGGTGAACATAATGTACAAAAAGAGTACAGGGTTTTCTTCCAAACGCCAAGGGACAGTTAAAAACATGTTTTTCCTAAAACAAACGCACTTGGCTGGGCCGGATTGATTCTACCCCTAAAACTCTTGATCAGTTCATTCCCATAAAATGAGTCAATTATCGCAAATGAATGCGTATTGGTTTGTTTTGACGCCTCACCGGATTTGTATCACGGTTTTGTCTCATGAAATCGCATGGAAGTGAACATCGATGGCTGGTCCGATCATCGTTTGCAGAACCCTAGTCAAATCCCCTGGGAAATCCGCCAGAGGTGTTATATTTCTTGTTTGGGGAGATTTATCTGCTTCTTTTGCATGCAGTTACAAAACGGTAACATATCAGCTGGATACTCGTATGTACATAACGCAAGTTAACAATCTAAGGCAAAGCAATTACTCTAAATCGCCAGTAATTGGCTTTGCATCTCTTGGGAAGAATGAGCAAAATGGCTGCGGGTTCACCAGCCTTGTTCTCACTTCATTTTCGCTCTTGTTTTCCAACGTTGGTTGCTAAAGATAGCTCTTACCAATGGCCTTGAGGAAAAAGCAACATGCCTGCATGCTGACAGTTTGGCCTACATGGTAATTAACGGTGCAGACTGGCATGGGTCCCTTGACCGGTTCTTGAACTTCAAATGAACTCATGCGCATGCTCAGAACGACTTTACAATGAGAATTAGACTTCCGCCACCAATCGTTCAGTAATTCCTTGTCCCGAATCATAATTATGCAGTCAACAATTATAAATTACACTCAGTTGTCAATTATAACCTCCAATAGGGTGGCATTTCTTGTAATTTTTTCCCACTAACCTTTCATTCAAATGAGTTTTGTGTTTTTCCAGAAAATCCTTCAAATAATGTTTTCTCTTCGTTCGGAAGTCAGTTAATTTTGGAGCCTGATAGGTCTAATACGGGGAGAAGGCAATGATTTGAATACTGAAAGATAACAGCATTCGTCTGCATGGCCAAAATCAAATCGATCAGTGTATGAATGCAATAGACGACTTTAAGTTCTTTTTTTTCAGAACCAAACATCGAGTTGACCCACCAATGGAAACTATGGACGGAAAATTGACGCTCTGACCCGCTTTTATACAGGTACCACGTTTATGAAACGACTCCATAGACCTTATGCGTTGAGGAAGAGTCAGAGGCTATTCTTTGTTACTTCAATTTACTTAAAATGAATGCTCAAAACGTTTACCCGAACCTATCCCTGAGGAAGAAATAGCCCTTAATGTGACGTCAAGCGTATAAGGTCTATCCAATTCGTAAGTGATTTCGTCATAACACGCACCACTGCATGTTGCAAGTTTCCATTGGTTGAGCACTCAAGTTGCGCGTTACCTTCCGTTTCCATGTTACACCTACATGTAGTTCTATGTGGAGTGGGGGGGGGGTAAACTGAAGTGACGTCACACTTACGAACCGGAAAGATGCCGAAGTGAATACGTCACACGCACAACTAGGAAGTGTATAGTCTGAATACCAGACCCGATGATTCTGACTACTCTACGACTCAACGATCCGGTATCACCCAATGTCCACGTACGTTACAGACAGCGTATTCGAAACGAGTGGATCGGCTTAAACTTTGGTTTCGCTGGTTCCGGTCATTTTGGAGCAGCGTTTGAAACCACATGAAACCACATGTTCTAGCTTTGGCTGGAACTAGTACCGAAGTCTAAGTCGAATCTACTCTTTTCGAAAACGCTCCAAGACAGGAGGAATTCCTCCGGTTTTCCGGAAATGACCTAAATATTGCGTAGTCGTTCCGTCTATATTCAGTATGTTCGGATGGTACCATTGATGTTCGGTTTTTCCCGGCCGGGAAGGTAGGCTAGCTGTTGAACGGTAAACTCCCGTATCCTGATGACAGCTGTTGATCCGAACTTATTTGACTTCAACGACTTCATAAAATAGAATGAAATAGAATAAAATATAGAATAAAATATCACTACCCTGAAGGTGTCCTCGGTATAACCTCTCTAGAGGAGAATTTAGGAAGAATAAGGACCTGACGACGACTGACCAATACACATGCAGGGTGCACCACTGTAATGAAATCAAAAACAACCGGGCTCTCACCTTGTAACCCCTCACCTTTGCGTCTTATCTGTTTATATCTGTGGGTGATGCCTGACCTAAGATTTTTTATCAAGAGTCGTCAGGGAATCTTTAAGCGGGAACCAGACTAGGGAATGTAGTGCAAACGAATGGAACACGCGAGCGTGTTTGTTCAAGAGCTGGTTCTCACGAAGATGTCCTTTACACACATGGGTGTGCGTGAAGTGGATTATTCCCCTCTGTACTCTATACTCAAGGTGTTATAGAAATGTACGTCTGCAAACTGACATTGCTAACAGAAGTATTAGCTAAAATGACTTGATCCTTAGAGAATGGCTAGATCTAATAATTGTTTGCTCCAAGAATTCGTGGTTGTTTGCAATCTATCACTCTGCTGATTAAGCCTGGTTTCCATATGATCGTTTGAATCGTAGACATCCACAAGACGCGAAGACGTGAAGGCACAATCAAGCATCCACTATAATTTAAAAAAATTAACTTCTTGTCAAACAAATTTTTCACATTCAGGTTTATCCAGTGTTGCACCTGGGGTGTCTTTAGGTCAAATATAAAAAGAAGCACATGTGGCTGTTACAAATTAAATTGCACTCTCTCTTAGACAGCAGTGGGTATTCTGTGATGGCTTATGAAGGTCATAACCATGAACCATCATGAATCATGAACCATTTTCTCGAATACAGGATCGTCTTTAATTTACTGTAATGACACTATCGCCTCTTATATCTTATAAAAGTCGTTCTACAGAATTTCTTAAATTCGGAGTTTTCACAGAATCTGTGGAGCTCAAGTCTTTTGACATTTCATTTTGCGGTTAACTGCTTATATCTGATATCTCAAGAAAACAGTGATTAATTGCGTTATAGGAAAGAGGATTCTTCTCCTCGCGGAACAGGTCAATGACCTCTGGGGATGATTACATCAGCTAGCAAAGAACAAAATGATTGTCATGTCTTTAGCTGCGCATCGATGGCCGCACGTACTTTGCCGCGCAATGGTACTCCCCGTCCTCCATCCCCTAGAGCCTTCCTGAAAAATGTCCCTCAGTCTCTCGATGGCTGGGGTATGACCCGGCTCTCGAGTCATTGGCCGCAGAGTTATTGGTCTTGAAGATTTTTAGCTTATGACTTTTGACCCATCTGTGAAGTCTTGAACCTTTACTTTAAGAATAAAATGGAGAAGGGTTTAAAAGGAAATACGTGCACACTGCATTGATCACTGAATTGATCACAATATGCTACAAGCACGCATGTATCATTTACGCGTCGAGCGCATGGGCAATGTTGCCAGGCTACAAAATATTACGCATAATGATGATTTTTCTCACAGTTGATGTGTCGTGTCCACTGAGTTGTAGTTGTGTAATCTTAGTTATGAGGATGGATAGCCGCTTTGGCACTAGGCCAAAAAAATCTCCAATTTCTGGTCAGGAGCTGGCTCCAAAATTGGTGCGGCTTTTTTCCACCTCGGTATCTTTTTTTTTTTGAAAATGATGTTTGCATAACGCACGATGTCCACGCCACTGCATGCGCACGTAGCACCGACCGCTACCAACACCAAAATAGACTGGTCCCCGCACTTTTTACTGTTTAAAAGCATATTCAGCTTGTACATGCACACAGGACATAAGACCTCCTCGTTTGTCTAGTTCCCAGATGTAAATGTATAATGCAGAAATGACGTCATCTGAAAAAAGAGTGTCCGACTAAATGTACGGGGAACTAGAGGGATTCTTTTACTTTACATATTACTCAACCGTACCCCTATCAAAAATACGTTAAAATTACGCAGTAGCAGGATTCCAGTCGATTAAGGAAGTTTGGCAGCTTTTGGACATCGTAGTTTATACGATACGTTTAAAATAAAAAAAAATATTTTACTGAAATGCAGGTCTATGGTGACGCGCGTTCTGACCAGAAACCGGAACTTTTTATTGGCCCTAAGCGTTATTTAGTGTAGGAGATGTGCTCCTTGCCCCGCGCCGGGGACATTAAAGCACTGCGTGTATTCGCATTTGCTGCTCTTTCCATTCTGACCATGACAGAAACCCGTGCGTCACACTAGAGTGCTGTTTGTGCAGCCCGCTATGTTCGTGGAAGACGAGTAGGCGCTGATCGCTACTCCTGCAATGATCGCCATTGTTGCTTACGCCAAAAAAGTCTCTGGTTATTCTGGTCTGCTTGATCGACTGTAATCCTGCTACTGCGTAGTTTTAACGTGTTTTAGATGGGGTGTGGTTGAGTAATAGGTATAGTACAGGAGTCTAGGCCCCTACGCATACATTTAGAAAATTTTGACGAACATTTTCTGCACAAGCCATTTTGAAGGCTCGGTTCACACCAGTGCTCAAAATCTCTACTGTTGACGAAGCGCCCCTCAATAGCATTATGTATTGCTAAGAGCTCTGTAGACACCCCGCATGCAGCGTGGCAAGTCATCTTAACAGAAACCGCGCTTCACACTCGATCTTGATGGATCTTAGCCGCAGGATTAGAGGCAGAATTCTTGGCTCCGCGTCAACATCGGAGCCTGTCGTAGTGGATTACTTATGCCAGTGAAAATTAAATCTCCGTGACAAAAACTATGAGGAATACCAAATAAGAAAACGCTAGTTAAGGTAAATCTTACCTTCCAGTATTCCAGCTTGTATGTCTAACTACTTTAACAGGTTTTTGTCCCTTCAGAATGTTTTTTTTTCAAACCCTCGACTGCACCAGTCAGTGACACTTATATGAACATTTAAAATGTGTAGAATACTGTGCTCGAAGAGTTCAGCCTGTTGAGGTTGCGGTAGCATTGGAAAAAGACTTCGAGAGTCAATCACATACCGTGCAAACCAGTAAAGTGCCGCAGAAAACATACACCACCAAAGGCGGTTTGCTACACTTGCTAAAAGTAGGTTACGCTTTGACCGATAAAGGCGCTGTGAGAATGCAGTACAGGTCGACTACAGCGTATTTGCATGTACAAGGGACTGACTCGTAAATTACTCTTACTTTGAGGCAAATACAGATTTCAAACACGTGACCATGGTATCTTTGCATAATTTGGTTACCTTTATTCAATCAATATCTCAAATTTCATAGCACAGCAACCAACGCATCCCGCGTGGGTATGTAGGGAACAAACTATGGTACTTTTATCACTGTATGTTCGGTGTCATTGCTCTCTGTGGGTTTTTAGGTGTAAAGATATATAGCAATTACCTGCAGGTTGAAAGTAGGTACTCTGACCAGACCACAATTATCAAGCTTGGCGTTCAGTATTTACAGTAATAGGCTATCCAAACCGTGAGTATTCTTTTTTCTAATTGAACCATTCACTTCCGGCATCTCATGAATGTTTGCGTCCTTTCTTCCATATATTTCGTATCTCATCTTCTTTTGATTGAATTGCTCTGGAACTGAGATATAAATTCGTAATTGGATTTCCGTGGCGGCCGAAGAATTCTCCGGAGTAGAAACCTGTTGTTGATGTCAAAGCAATTTTGATGTAACGGTTTGAGGTGTCACTTCCATGCATGGCCCGCCGGGCATGGAAGCCCCGTCATAATTCTCCGATGTCCTCTTAAAGGTCAAATGGGTTGAAATATGATGGGGAAAGCAACTGTTGTAATATCTGACACAGGTGAAATTTAGAGCAAATCAAAATGTTCACGTGCGGTGAACTCATTTGAAGTCCCTTTAAAGTGTTTTAGGACTTGCAGTAAAAGGCCTGTCTCTGACTTTCGCCCCTCTAACAAGCAGGACAAAAATAATGAAACTCTTTCACCACAGCCTACTGCGGGTATCGGTCACGTCTCAAGATTAATTTGATCCCCCCCCCAAAAAAAACACAAATTGCGGTTAAGTCGGGCCGAGACCTACTGGGACCTAGGCCAAATCGGACTTGACCATGGCTTGGACGCATTTTGCTGAAAAAGTAATTCCCTATTCTTTTGTTGCTTCCTCATCACCGGTTTTCCCACCCGAGCTCTTTACCTGCTTGTAAATGCAGTTTGGTAACAATTTTTT